TGATGGTGTGTGTGTGTGATGGTGCGTTTGTGTGCGTGTGTGTGTGATGGTGCGTGTGTGTGCGTGTGTGTGTGTGATGGTGTGTGTGTGTGATGGTGTGTGTGTGATGGTGCGTGTGTGGGATGGTGTGTGTGTGCGTGTGTGTGATGGTGCGTGTGTGTGTGTGATGGTGCGTGTGTGTGTGCGTGTGTGTGTGTGACGGTGCGTGTGTGTGATGGTGTGTGTGAGTGATGGTGTGTGTGTGCGTGTGATGGTACGTGTGTGTGATGGTGCGTGTGATGGTGCGTGTGTGATGGTGCGCGTGTGTGATGGTGCGTGTGTGCGTGTGTGTGTGCGTGTGTGTGCGCGTGTGTGATGGTGCGTGTGTGCGTGTGTGTGCGCGTGTGTGTTGGTGCGTGTGTGTGATGGTGCGTGTGTGCGTGTGTGTGTGCGTGTGTGTGCGCGTGTGTGATGGTGCGTGTGTGCGTGTGTGTGCGCGTGTGTGTTGGTGCGTGTGTGTGATGGTGCGTGTGTGTGATGGTGCGTGTGTGCGTGTGTGTGCGCGCGTGTGATGGTGCGTGCGCGTGTGTGATGGTGCGCGTGTGTGATGGTGAGTGCGTGTGTGATGGTGCGCGTGTGTGATGGTGCGCGTGTGTGATGGTGAGTGCGTGTGCGTGTTTGACAGTGAGGAGCGGTGGTGTAGTGGTTAGCGCTACGCTGCGCTACGAACCCGGCGACCAGGGTTCGATTCCCGCTCACGGCCAACACCGGTGACGATTATCTGAACCGGCCATGGGCCTCCCCTAGGTCGACTCAGTCTCAAATTAGTACCTGGTGCGGTGTGTAAACATCGCTACTGGAGACAAAGGCGATCGGGCGTGGTGCTGGCCACCCACCCCTCTCGTGTACCGTTCCGGCCTTCATAGGTGCTCGCTAACAGCACCTGCCCTAACAGTCGGTTAAGGTCACTTAAGGCTATACGGGGGATCTTTGTCATTGTCTTTGTTTGACAGAGCAAGGTCCCCATTTGCCTGTGCACGTACGTATGGACTGACTGTACGTTGAACTTCTTTCACACCGTACGTAGCCTCGTCGAAGGTGCGGGCGGCGCTGGCAAAAAAAATAAACCGCGGTCGCGAACGAAACGAAGTTCAGGTCTCCGCCGATACGTCGTGAACGTCGCTCGGCTCGCTCTCGCCCCGATACGAATACAGCATCGCCGCTCCGACATTAGTGGCGGAGTGGTGGGCCCCCGTGGTGGTTAGCGCGCTTGTGCTCGCAACTCTGGGAGCCGAGATCGAGACCGCACAGCCGCAGCTAAAACCGCCGGTTGCCGCGGTGAGATCCCACGCAAGCCGCAGTGGTTCGTGAGAAAAAGATATTCCACCGGACACTTGTGAAAAAAAATACGCATTGATGCTCCAGCATAAATAAATATTCTGATTGTGGATTGACAAAGGGCTGTAAATTATTATACATCGAGTACCGTGGTAAAGTTTGCATGGGGCAAAAGTACGCATGTATGTTTAACTTCTTTCGCACCGTACGTAGCCAACCGTGCTAATCGCTGCGTGGCAAGTACAACAAACTCAATAGCCATGAGTCACGTGGCTCACCCTAACCCGGGGCAATCGCCTGCCTGCCCTCCATGCCTTTCGCTACTTTTTATTTCGTACGGATGAAATATAGACGTCGAAGATGAACCGCGCGTGCCAACGTTAAGCCACGCAACTGATTTGTGGGTCAGATCGCGCGAGTGAAATGTGTCATTAAATTTGGCGCGTTTTGTCCGTGCCGTGTGGAGGAGAGTTTTTTTTTTATGACGCACGTCTTAATGAAGCGATCTGTTGAGCAAGTGAATTATGAATGACGGATGTCTTCAACTCGAAATCCAGTTTGAAGGCTCCACGGGATAGCGAATTCATTGTTCCACGCAGGCCTCCTCGGCATGAACCCGGCGGCACGAGTTTACCATGTGCTCATCCCGTCAAGGAGCCTTCAACAGTCACGCGAACTCCGGTCATCGTCATCATTATCATCGCAGGAGCAGCAGCAGCGGCTTTTGGGTGACCATCGAACAAAGACGGTGGTCACGGCATCGCGCGCTTCCAGATGCGCTTCTGCGGCCGTCTGGAACGTCCTTCCTCCCGATATTAGGAGCTATGCGCGTTTAAAGCTATATAGAAAACGAATTTCTGTTTTGTTGTTTAGTTTGTTGTCCTACCCCCGCTACGTACGGTGCGAAATAAGTTCAACATACATACGCGTTGAGAGAGTGTTTGCTTTGGTTCTCTGCAGTCGCACGTGGCAGTGAATGCTGCCAGTATCGACTCCACGCGATCATCAAGTCATCGCACAATAATGCCCTCCATTCATCCACTTATCCAGCCTCTCGACCACTCGGTTTTTCAAGAGGGATGTTTTTTCAACCTGCATTTAGGATGTTTTGGCCAATTCTAAGAACGCAAGGCGTTTGTCAAGGAGACATGAGCCAGTCAAATCCTCAACTTTAAAATGTTGATCATCATGGGACCTCCTTTGGCAGTACCAAAATATAATAGTTTTTTCCGTTTTTTCTAGCAACAAAACTGAAACCTTTTTTCACAAGGAATCGTGTCACTGCTTTAACCACAATAATTGTGGTCAGAATGCAATACAAAAAACATACTCTGATAATAATCTTGATTTGAAGCTTTTGTGACTGCAGGAATCCATACTCTTTGGTTCTCTCGGTAAAGTCACGTAGGTAGAAAAATAAAATAAATCACGACGTTTCAATTGTAATACAAGCAATCGTCATCAGGTGGATAATATGATGCATTGTCCTTGAAACTGACTGGTCCACACCAGAGACAGCTTTCTTTTGAGCCTCATCTCAAGCGGTGTTAGACCAGAGAACAGCTCAAAGACAATGGACTCTGATAGCGCATTGTCTTTGAGCTGTACGCCTTTTGGCCAGGTCGCTTCTGAAGAAGAAAAAAAGAGCTATATGGGGGCCTTACCTGGTAAAATAAAAAAACGTGTTTATAGAGTCGAGTGCTGACAGCTGCACTGGGGCGCACGGGCCAGAGGGGGGCCAAGCCGCCGATTGCAGCAATTGCGCAACGAGTTCTGAACGCGTGGGTTCAAATAAAAGCCGTCGTTTTAACACAATGGTTCTTCACCTTTACTGCTGCCTTGCACTCCTTTGGTTCTCAATTGTTACAAAAATAAATGCGTAGGGTTTGATGAAAACAAAAGTAGTTGTACTTACGTGCACGTGCTTAATTTGTGTTTCGATTATTTACCTTCTAAAACTAAATCTGGCCATGTCTCGCACCCCCAGAAAGGGCACCTCGCACCTCCCCCCCCTCCCCCCCCCCGTTCGTGCGTGCACCCCAGGTGCACGAACCACCTTTCTAACACGATCATAATAATTCCCTTTACATAGCTCCAGAAAGGCCTCAACGAAGCTCAGAGATTATTCATTTGCAGGAGGGTCCTGCAACCGGAATGTTCGGCCAATGGCATTCCACGAGCGTTGGTTGGGCTTCGCGTGCAAAGGAAAACGGTGTGGGGACAAAAGTGAAGAAGGACTTAAAGGGGTGGAAAGCCAAGGTCTCGGCACGGATCGATTCAATAATCCACTGCTGTACCGCCATCTCTTGGCCACCTTGCAAAGCGGCTTTCAATTGCATCTGTAGGTGGGTGGCAAGGCCCTTCGTTCATTTCAGCCGGATCTGTTCGGGGGGGGGGGGGGGGGGGTGGTGGGAAGCGACCGAGAAAATATCTCCGCACCCGCCGCACCACATCCAGTATACCAAAGACAAAGATCCCCCGTATAGCCTACACAGACTATTTTGGGGGGAGTGGTGGGGGCAAGTGCTGTTAGCGAGCACCCCGCTCACACGCGGTGCGATGCACCCCTCGCCCTCCGGCTGTGACTACGAGTCACGTGCCACACCTACTCCATTCCAGCAACGATCCAGAAAAAAAACCCACACACAATGAGTGAGACCATAAGTCCTGTTTCTTGACGAACTTAACGTAAATAGCAGAGGATGGGCTCATTGATATATGTTTTCATGGAGCTCCATTAGGGACAGTAATATTTGAACACTGAGCAATCATCACAGATTAAACCGGGTTCTCGAGTGTAGCATAAGTATGGCCATATCTTCATTCATATTTCACTGTACAACATCTAACAAAGCTTAGGCATCGACACACACACATAAAACCAGCTAGTGCTCTCAATTTCAAACTCTAATAATTCACGATTTTGCTTCGACGAGCATGTGAAAGACGCTCTTTAACAGGGCGCACCCTGAAAGTTGTGCCTCTAGGGCGGGTGAAGAGGCTACCAGAAGTCATTTTTTGTGGGGTCATCTCTGGCACAGAGTGGTGCAATGCTTACTGCAAAAAAATCCAATTGGGGGTTTATTAATCTCATGGGAACTTGACACGAGACAATAGTGGAACGAGAATACAATTTAGAGGAAAGAATAAAACTAACATTTATTTAAACAAAACATAATTTGATCTAAATTAAGTTACACCCCCGTGACTTACCTAAACTGCACATTACAGTGATAAAATTAATTGGGGATCGTACAGTTATTAGTATGCGGGCGCCACGGTGGCGAGATGTTAACTTATTTTCCTGGTATGCAGGAGGTCGTGGGTTCGATCCCGACCCCGACGCCTGCTGTATATATGGAGTTTGCATGTTCTCCCCGTGGTCGCGTGGATTTTTCTCCGGGTCCTCCGGTTTTTGCCCTCCACATTTAGAAACATACGTTAACAGTATTTGGCTGCTAGAAAATGCCCACGTGATGATATTTCCACTTCGTTGAGATATTATTCGTGATATCCAGGTCGCTTCTTAAAGAGAGCTTACATAGCTCAGTGGGCCTTACTTGGTTAAAAAAAAAATACACCCGAGAACCCCGTTTAATCAATCACGGATTTTAACTCAGGCCCACAAGCATCGCCGGCTTCAGCTGCGAGACCCCACGCCCGACCTTCGCGACCGCACTCACCTGCAGCTCGCACCACGCCACATCCACCCACGTGTCCGTGTCCAGACCCTTGTAGACCGTCTTGAAGGAGCCGCGGCCCAGCTCAATGCTGAACTTGAGAAATCGCCCTCGAGGCGAGGTGTCCACCGCCTTCATGCCCCTATCGTCGTCCGTTTCTTCATCGTCCGAGTCGTTTTGCGGATTCCGCTGCTCCTGCTTCTGCGGATGTTGCTGCTGCTGTTGTTGCTGCTGCTGCTCACGCTGCTGCTGCTCAAGGTGCGACTGTTGGTCTTCCGGCACGTCCAGCTGCTGCTGCTGCTGGGTCCTCTCTGTGCCGTCTGCTGAGTCGAGGGGTTCCACCTTGACCGAGAGGGACTCGGCATCGTCTCCGCTCTCCGAGCTCTCCTGACTTTCGGGGCCCGCGTACTCGTTCACGATCAACTTCACGTCGTCGCTACTCTTGAAGGTCACGGCAGCCGAGTTCCTGCGACGCACGGCCACGACCGAATGCGCCACCTTCATCTTCTCATCGTCGTCCTCCTCGAGTGTATATTTATCATCGTCCTCGTCGTCCTCGTCATCATCATCGTCATCGGCATCATCATCGTCGTCCTCATCATCGTCGGCGCTGCGAGTGCATCGCTTGATCCTGGTGTTGCTGCCTCTCAGCCTTGCGAACGGGACACCACCACCACCTCCTCCTCCTCCTCGTCCATCACCTCCATCACCACCAACGTGTCCGCAGTCACCGCCACTCCCCTTAGATCCGCTCAGCTCGAGGCCGTTGACAGGACCCGGGCACTCTCCATCCGAGACGCTCGCCTTCTCGCTCACGCTCGAGTCGCAGAGGTTCACGCTACGACGCACGAATCGCCCCAGCTCGACGCCTCGTCGCCTCTTGTCCGTCACGAGCAGGCTCTTGCTCCTCCTGCGGTACACGGGCTCGGGCAGGGCCACCTCGTCCCACTCGTGGGCCACCGAGACGGCTACATCGCCTCCCCAGGCGCCGATGACGTCCAGGGCCGCTTGAGACATCTCTCTTCCTCTCCGGGCGAGGTCAACGCGCGGCACGGAGCGGCATGACGCCGATAGCCCTCGTCGTGCCGTTGAGGATGGTGACGCTGACGATGAGTTGAAGTTGATGCAAGGTGGACCGGCCGTCCCTGTTCAACGCCCACAGCTAAGCACGCGCGCTGCTGCTCACAGGCGCCGTCACCGTCCGCTCATTCATGATTACACAGCGCACACTCACACGCACAGACACTCACACGCACAGACACACTCAATCACTCACACGCACAGACACACTCACTCACTCACACGCACAGACACACTCACTCACATGCACAGACACGCACACTAACACGCACAGACACGCACACTCACACGCACAGACAACACGCACACTCACTCACACGCACAGACACACTCACTCACATGCACAGACACGCACACTCACAGACACGCTCATTCACACGCACAGACACACTCATTCACACGCACAGACACGCACACTCATTCACACGCACAGACACGCACACTCATTCACACGCACAGACACACACACACTCAATCACACGCACAGACACGCACGCAAAGGCGCGAGCAATATATATTTTGTCCGCACTCGGCAAAAAAATCTCGCTTCCCAGGAGGGCTCGGCGCTCGCCGACAACCAAAAACTCCGATGACTGTCGCTGCCGCCGCCGCTGCTTCTTCTTCTTCTCCAGCGCAGTGGAGACGTGTCCGTGGTCAGCCCGAGTCGGTGTGACGATGTCGGGCTACTCGAGCGAGAGAGTGTGAACTCGGGATGAGAGGCAGAGAGAGGGAGACGCGTTCGCCGTCACTGCCACCACCACCACCTCTACTGAACAGCGGCGGCGGCGTTGCCGATCGTTCTGCGGAGCGCGTTGCGTGTGCGCTCCCTGCCCAACACGAGCGGGGGAGGGGGCAGAGGAGGAGGAGGCGGAGGCGGAGGCGACTTCACGAGCGGAGGGAGGCGGTGGTGAGTGCGCGTGGATGCGGGCGGGGTTGGCGAGGGGACGCTCACGGCGCTGGGGGGGTGTGATGGTGAGTTCGCGTGCGTGCGTGCTCGACTCAAATGAGTACCTGGTGCGATGTGTAATCGTAGCCACTAAGGGAGACAAAGGCGGCCGGGCGTGGGCTGACGTACCCCCCCCCCCCCCCCCCCCGTTGTGTGCCGTTCCGGTCTTCTTAGGTGCTCGCTAACAGCACTTGCCCCTACAGTCTGTAAAAGGCTATACGGGGGGTATTTGTGCCTGTGGCTGTGTGTGAGTCTGTACACGCGTGTGTGTCTGTGTGAGTCTGTGCGTGTCTGTGTGTGTGAGTCTGTGCGCGTGTGCGTGTCTGTGCGTGTGTGTGAGTCCGTGCGCGTGTGTGTGTCTGTGTGTGTGAGTCTGTGCGCGTGTGCGTGTCTCTGTGTGTGAGTCTGTGCGTGTGTGTGTGTTTGCGCGCGTGTGTCTGTGTGTGTGTGAGTCTGTGCGTGTGTGTGAGTCTGTGCGTGTGTGCGTGTCTGTGCGTGTGTGAGTCTGTGCGTGTGTGTGTGTCTGTGTGCGTGAGTCTGTGCGTGTGTGTGTGTTTGCGCGCGTGTGTCTGTGTGTGTGTGAGTCTGTGCGTGTGTGCGTGTCTGTTTGTGTGTGAGTCTGTGCGTGTGTGTGTGTCTGTGTGTGTGAGTCTGTGCGTGTGTGCGTGTCTGTGTGTGTGTAAGTCTGTGCGTGTGTGTGAGTCTGTGTGGGGTGTGAATGTGGAGAGCGGTGGCGCAACGGTTGGCGCACTGCGCTACGAGCCCGGTGACCAGCGTTCGATTCCAATAACACTGGCGGACACTTGAACCGGTCCTGGGGCTCTCCTAGGTCGACTCAGCCTCAAATGAGTACCTGGTGTGGTGTGTAAATCTTCTCCACTGGGGAGACAACGGCGGTCGGGCGTGGTGCTAACCACCCCTCCCCCCCCCCTCGTGTGCCGTTCCGGCCTTCATAGGTGCTCGCTAACAGCACTTGCCCCTACAGACTGTTAAGGCTATATGGGGGATCTTTGGTGGGGAGTGGCTGTGCGTGTTTATCTTTGTGTGTGCGTGTGTGCGTGTGTCCGGTGTGATGATGGTATCTGCCCGTGTGTGGACTGCCGCGTGTGTGTAGGGGGCGGTCGCGTCTGTAATGATAAGGGGTGGTTGCGCATCTAAGTGCGTGTGTGTATCTAAGTGTGTGTGTGTGTGCATCTAAGTGTGTGTGTGTATCTAGGTGTGTGTGTGTGCATCTAAGTGTGTGTGTATCTAGGTGTGTGTGTGTGTGCATCTAAGTGTGTGTGTGTATCTAGGTGTGTGTGTGTGTGCATCTAAGTGTGTGTGTGTATCTAGGTGTGTGTGTGCATCTAAGTGTGTGTGCATCTAAGTGTGTGTGTGTATCTAGGTGTGTGTGTGCATCTAAGTGTGTGTGTGTATCTAGGTGTGTGTGTGCATCTAAGTGTGTGTGTGTATCTAGGTGTGTGTGTGCATCTAAGTGTGTGTGTGTATCTAAGTGTGTGTGTATCTAGGTGTGTGTGTGCATCTAAGTGTGTGTGTGTATCTAGGTGTGTGTGTGCATCTAAGTGTGTGTGTGTGTGTGCGCGAGTCTGCGTGTGTGTGCGTGGGTTAAGGTGTGAAACGGTGGCGCAGTCGTTCGCGCACTGCGCTACGAACGCGGTGACTCTCACGACCAATAAGAGTCGCGAATATTTGAACCGGTCCTGGGACTCCGCGAGGTCGGCTCTGCCTTAAATGTGTGCCTAGTGCTGATGTGTAAACACATCAGAGACAAAGGTGGTCGGGCGTGCAAGGGTGTTGGCCACCCACCCCCGTGTGCCGTGCCGGCATTCATAGGTGCTCGCTGATAACACTTGCCCACCGGTCTGCTGAGGCTATACGGGGGATCTTTGTCTTTGCGTGAGTCTGTGTGTGTGGGTGCGGGTAGCAGCGGCGTGTGTGATGATACGAATGGCTGCGTGTTGTGTGCGAAGCTTTGCGTGTGTGTGGTGGGGGGGAGCGGTGGTGTATCGGTTAGCGCGCTGCACTACGAACCCGGCTACACGGGTTCGATTCCCGCTCACGGCCAACACCAGTGATGATTGTCTGAACCGGTCTTGGGCCTCACCTAGGTCGACTCAGCCGCAAATGAGTACCCGGTGCGGTGTGTAAACGTCGCCACGAGGGAGACAAAGGCGGCCAGGCGTGGTGCTGATCACCCACCGTGCTAACAGCACTTGCCCCTACAGTCTGTTACAGGCTACACGGGGGATCTTTGTCCGTGCGCGCGTCTGTCTGTGTGTGTGTGCCCTTGTGGGGGGTGGTGGCTCTGTGCGGTGATGTGGGTTCGCTGTGCGTCTGCTTTGGGAGCGGTGGGGTAGCGGTTCGGGCACTGCGAGAGGAATCCGGCGCAGACGAGTTCGATCCCCGGTCACGGCCAACACCGGTGACACATGCATGAACCGGTCTTGTGAGCCTCGACTCAACATAAGTGCTTCATTTTGAGTACCTAGTATCAATCAGTACAGTACACCCCCCCCCATACCGGCATTCGTTGGTGCTACTCGCTGACAGCACTTGCCCCGGCAGTCTGTTAAAGGCTATATGGGGGATCTTTTTTTTTCTTTGGGTGGAGGCGGCGGTGTAGTGGTTAGCGCACCGCCCTACGAACCCTACACAAACCGAGTTCGGTTCTGGTACACGGCCAACATTCAATCATGGGTGGCGAGTGATTATTGAACCCGATCCTGGGCGTCTCCTGGGTCGACTCAGCCTTAAATTAATATATACCCTGGGGCGTGGTGCTTCCCACACCACTCTCCTCGTGCGCCGACAGCACTTGCCCCAGCAGCCTATGGAGGCTCCACGGGGGATCTTTGCATTTAACTTTGCATGAGTGAGTGTGTGTATGTGTGTGTTCATAGTTAGTTCATAGTTCATTTATTTGGTATAGCCCTGTGGACGTGTTTGGTGTGTTCACGGTAGTGTTAGTGGTTAGCGCCGCCCTGCGCTACGAACCCGGCGAGCCGGGTTCGATTCCCGCTCACGGTCAACACCGGTGACGATTATCTGAACCGGTTCTGGGCCTCCCATAGGTCGACTCAGCCCCAAATGAGCACCCGGTACGGTGTGTAAACATCGCCACTGGGGAGACAAAGGCGGCTGGGCGTGGTGCTGGCCACCCACCCGCTCGTGTGCCGTGCCAACCTTCACAGGTGCTACTAGATTAACAGCACTTGCCCCCAACACTCTGTAAAGGCTACACGGGGGGTCTTTGTCTTTTGTGTTTGTTCACGCCCCAAATGCTCAGCTCCCCTCCGTGGACAGCCGCGATGACGCCCGTGCTGCAAGTCCACTCCGGATCTTACAGCCATAAAACAAGGAAGGTAGAGGGAGGGTGGTTGGGTGGCGAGGCATGAGGGGAGGAAGAGGCGATAGAAGGAGAAGAGATGAGGAGGTGGAGAGAAGAATAAGAGCGGAGAGAATGAGAGACCACACAGACGGGCGGTCGGACAGGGACGCGTGCAATCGATGGCCTTTGAGTGTGATGCCGAGACGACGTGTACGTACCATCGTTGCAGTTATCCCCCTGCATGCAAGTCTGCCCATATATAAATCAATTAAAGCGCTTGAATTTTTTTTTTACGAGCAGATGAAGATTCGCTGGCTGGTAAAGCGAGCTAGTCTGCCTTGATATTGCCACTCGAACGCACAAAAAGCGACGGAGTGCACGATTTTTTTACTTTTATGATTACGCTGCGGCCAAAGTCTTAAATACGGCAGGCATTGCTTCGCGTGGCTGTGTCAAACACCTATTATTATTATTATTCCACTCTGTTACAACGTTACATGAGCGTTCACAGAGTATATACCCTGATTGCATATTCATCCGAATCATAAGACACATCTCAGAACGTGTCCCCACTCTAACGTTGTAATAGAGCCCGCTGTCAATGAGAGATACAGTATATGCAGTGAGGGAAAAAAAGTATTTGATCCCCTGCTGATTTTGTACGTTTGCCCACTGACAGAAATTATCAGTCTATAATTTTAATCGTAGGTTTATTTGAATAGTGAGAGACAAAATAACAACAACAAAATCCAGAAAAACGCATGTCAAAATGTTATAAATTGATTTGCATTTTAATGAGGGAAATAAGTATTTGACCCCCTCTCAATCAGAAAGATTTCTGGCTCCCAGGTGTCTTCTATACAGGTAACGAGCTGAGATTAGGAGCACACTATTAAAGGGAGTGCTCCTAATCTCAGCTTGTTACCTGTATA